ACTTCTCACTCCACATTATCTAAACCTGAATAATCTTTAGTAAGAGTTATGAGGCACTTGTATATACTTAAAACAATAAGTAGAAACAGTCCATAATTATCGATACAAGTCAATTCTTAAGTTAGTTCCTAAACTTCTCTACATCTGCTAATCACAACCATATATTACTAGCAACATTTCTCTAGATGCATTCAACTTGTTGCCAAATTCAAAATATCCATACTTCTTGTGCCACAACATGACATACTTCTCATCTATTTTACCAAGATTAGAAACAACAGCCACATCATTTACAGTATGCACAACTGAAGAAGATTGCTAGTATTCACAAATATGTTCGCTTGATTTAGTTTTCGATTGCTTGCCAATTATTGGATTTCACTTAACAACACTAAAACCGGTATCCAATCACGAAAAACCAAAAGGTATAGTATCTGGATTGGATTCGAACAAAAAAGGCTAACAGAATACCTTGCTTCAAACAAAAAAGACTAACTAAATGCCTTGCTTCACTTTCCAATCTAGAAAACTTTTATAAATTGCCTTCTTGTGCCTGATTTATAGCAAAAGTGGCTCATGTTCCAAAATCCTATGATTTCATGATTCAAAGACATTCATGGAACTGAAATGGGAATCAGGCTTTATAAAATTCTTCTTAAATGACCTTCAATGGAACCTTTCTTAATAATGTTTCATTTGGCAGCAATGTTGACTTATATCATCTAGAGCACAAAATGAGATTGTCAGCTCATAATATCTTTTCCTCTTGGATGATTACAACACTCACAATTTAAATCTCATATGCTTTTTTCTGTACTTTATGAGCAAATTTCAATCACACTGTCACCCCCAAAAATAAGCTATCCAGAAATTGTCGCAATAGAAATTGGTCCCGTATTTCAACATTGGTCATTTTCAAAATATGCTCATAGAAACCATCTACCTTATCCAACATGGTAATGGTGAATGGTCTATGTGGTTCGATATTTTAATCTTATAAAACTCCTAAAATTGACTCTAATGGCATCCTTAATTATTAGTGTGCAGTACACTTTACCTATTGCGCTCCCTGATGATATACCTGTACACCATCAAACGATTCCAATTAGAATGTCTTTAGAAAGCACATTACCCTTTTGTCCTCAATCGAGCTCAATCACATAGGCTTATAACTTGAATGGGTATTGAAGGTGATCAACTTTTTAGGCTATTCATGAAATTTATTATGCCCAAAATCATAAAGAGTGATTCACACCATTTATCTAAATGAACCTGTTAAATGATAGTTGCAGAGACAAACCAAAATTGGAAGCTTTTATAGAATAACTCAAAATAATATTATGCATTTAAATGAAATCATGCCAGAATGCTTAGTCCATTAAATTCTAGAATCTGAATTTTTTCCCAAAATATACAACAAAGGATAATACAAAATTAGTCAAATACAACCTTGGAATGATTTGCTACCAACAAGGTAGCTAAATCACATTATACTCTAACCAAAACCCTTTCCTTCCCAAGCATCTCTCAAGGCAACAATTAATCCAACAGAGAAGGTCTTACTATCTTAAGAGACCTCAGTAAATGTTGCAACTATCACAAGAATTTTGCCTCATTATTGTTCAAAATAAATTATTAGAAAAATCTTGAAAATCTTCATGATCACTTCTACAATAGGAGAACTCTAATCAATCTTATTAGTGATTTATGTAATTTAAAAATATTCACGAAAATTATCAAACCAACATTTAACTATAATAGAAATATGCAATGCCTGAAACATATATTGAGAATTAGGTCTAGCAAAATCAAGTAATTTGATTTATGTGAATATTCAAATAATAAAAAAATTTATTAATTAAATGAGTTTTTACTTAATTAAATGAATTATTAACAAAATGAATAAATTTCAATTATCGAAATTGGGTTAACCCGCATGATCAAATAACTCATTTATCACCCATTTAATTAGGCCAAATATTTTACAGAATGAAGGTATTAACTTTGGACCCATAATATTTCATCAAAAATTTTAACTAAAATGGCCTTAAGTAAAATAGCCAAAAAAAAAAAAAACTAATTAAATTAGGCCTAATTTTAGATTTCAACAAAATTGGTTTAAAACAAAATGACCAAAATTTTAATTCCAACAAAATGGCCTAAACCTAAATGACCCTGATTGGAATTAAAATTAATATTGACCTCAATTTAATTTAATATAGTCCAAAATCAATTAAATTAATTTGGCCTAAAATAATTAACCAAATGATCAAAATTAATTAAATTAATGGCCCCCAAAACTAAATCATTAAATTTGGCCTAAACAAAATAGACTAATAATAATAAAAAAAATTCTTGATTTTCACCTAATAGCCTAACCCTGAATGGCTAGAAGGAAATAGCTTGAAAGGGAAAAAAATTACCCAACATGAAAGAGGAAATCAAATTAGTTTAAAAATAACGAAAAAAAAAAAACCCTTAATTTTCACCAAATGGCCCCAGAAGGATTATCCAAAAAGGAAAAAAAATAGGACCTAATATGGAAAAGAAAAAAATTAAATTGACCAAAATGAAATGGTCCAAAAATAGTATGGGCCAAAATGCAATTTCCCAAAACTTTCTTTCTCCCTGTTTCCTCCTTTTTCTTTTTTTATTTTTTTATTTTTGCATCAGGCACGTGTAACTCAACCGCCTATCATAAGATGTATGAAGACTACCAATGGCACGTGTGACACATGCGTCACGCGTGAGTCAAGCAAGTGGGCGAGTGTTTTACAAGCGCCTGCACCAACAAAATAATGCACACACCCATGGGTCTTCTTTGCCCGTTTTGCCTGGTTACGGGTTTTTGGACCCAACTAGACCCGGTTCGTCCAAACCTCACCATTTTCACATCGTTTCGAACGTAGAAAATTGGATTTCAACCCTCTTCAAGTTTCGCAATAACAAAACCGGAAATTGGAGCCCAAAAACATAAAAAAATGAGATGGGTCTAAGAACCCAAAAAATCAAAAGCTTCATTTGAAGCTTTAATGGTGATATAACACCAAATAGAAGTAGTTAGTGACCCTCACGATGAGTATAGCTCTAATACCAACTGTTAATTTTAGCCTAGAAGCTCACAGGCTCAGTAATACATTTTAATAGATACTAAAACTGACCTGGATGCAAGCGAGAGTTCAATCTCGCTGAATCCACGATCATAGAATCGATGCCGCCATCATGTGTTCACTATAGCCTACCTCCGGAGCTTGATTGGAGACCTGTATAGTAAAAAAAAAGAGAACTACTTTCTGCCTCTCTAAATAGAAGTTATAAAACTTAATGTGCTAGCCTAATATATATAAAGATGAGAGTAGAAACTTCTCCCAACATGTTAGTCAAAATTGAACCATCCCATTATGGGTTCAAATATGGAATTAAATCGAGATCATACTTAACAATAATCCTACTACTATTTGGATATATTATAACATAGTACCACAAAATTACTATTAACATTAATTAATATAATTTAGTATATAATGACTTTGTTAATCCACTAATATGAGATAACTACAACAAGAATTTTATGTTGGGGTTAAGGCCCTCAAACTTGATTGTTTTTTAAGAAACCACCTTAGCTTTACAAAAGAGATACAATTATATCTATTTTTATTTTTTTTATTTGAAGTTAACGAAGTTTACATTTAATCATTTGAAATTAAAAATCCAATACTCTATCAATAAATGATACAAATGATACAATTGTTAGTTTTTTTTTTTTTTAATGAAAACTTTATCCTTAGTTAATTACCATCCATAAAGAAAATACAAGCATCATTGATGGCATGTTGACCAACAATTCATTTTCCTGATACGATAATGATAATAATGAGAAAATAAAATTATTCTGATTTGATTCCATGATCAAAAAATTCCCTAGGATGGTGAACATTTCAAAACAGTAATAAAACGAGTTGTTTAATGCAAGTGTAATATCAAAGTCAATAAAACACTTTTATCAAAAAGAATGCCTTCCTGTTCTTATGGTTCGAAGCATTTAAATTTCTGTGCAACCTACAAAGATGAATATTGGAACAGGGAATCTTGACCAACCATTTTTTAAACCAGATGAATATCCCCACTTTGTAAACCAGCAAACCTAAATCAGGAAGGATGAAGACACTTCATTTAACAACCTTTGATTCAAGCATCAATTTTTTTTTCTTGCCAAATGTAAAGGCTTATATTAGTTACCTAAAATAAGTCTCATCTTTTTTTTTTTTTTACATAGCTTAAGCTTAAGGAAAAAATTTACAAGTGCTGAGGATCAAACCCCAACTTTGGTGTAAACCACCTCCTAAAGAAAATGGGTGAACCATTTGGGTTAATCCCCAAGTTCAAGTCCCATTCCTTTTGCTGTTATATTTCAAGAATGTTGGCATGCGTATGAACAAGATAGGAAAATCTTGGCATTAATTTGCAATTTGCACTTTATATATCTCTATTGGTCGAAACAACATTATTGACAATCAATCACACCATGATCGATAAAGTTTAGATCCCCATTATTTTTCCAACCAATTCTCTTAAATGCTGCTGCTAGAACTGTTCACACATAAACTTCACTCGTATTCATTCCATGAGTGGGTGGTCACTGGTCAGCAGGGCCTTAATTGTGCATTGAGGATTTATTAATAGGAAAGTACTAGGAAGTTAGCTAGTTGAATACAACTCTAATACAAAGCTTGATGAAAAACTCAGTAACTTCTACGAAGTGGTGGAGCAGCAAGAAACTTAAGGCCAAAAGTGGAAAATACAAAAAGCAAGCAATATGTTTCAATCAAGAAAACTGATGAAATTGCCACATGACGGTCCCATCAGTAGAAATACAGCTTATCATTGAAAAACTAAACCAGATACTAATGGCATGTGAGAAACTTTATAGAGAAAATTTAAGGGATCAGAGTCTTGATTTGCATGTACACAATTTACAGAAAGGCAACAATATGTCATAAACTCATGATATATTAATATGAACCTGTAGGCTATACCAGTAATATCAACAGAAGTGCAAGTGAAAGAAAGTTGAAAACCATCGAATTTAAAATGGGGAAAAAAAGAACAATTACTATGATTTCTTTACAATGATCATCGGCAAAGATGAAGGAATAATGATCTACAGCAATAAGCTACTGATTTAAGAAAATTTACCGCTGGGCAATGAAAACTCACCGGACCTTTTTCCGTGACTTAAATGGGAATCTTGATGGTGGTGAAGGGGAAAACTCGATTGGTGGTTGAGGCGGCTCTGCCTCACCAGTGAGCATGCCCACAACCTCCTTCATGGAAGGCCGATGAGAAGGTGATTTTTGCAAACAAAGCAATGCAACCGTGATACACAAAAGAACTTGTTCCTTGTTCAGAGATTGTATACTCTGGTCAACCAAATCAATGAGCTTTCCTGTACGCGCAAGATGCCGCGCCCAAGAAATCAGATTGGCCCGCTGAAACTCTGACATAGGTGAGCCTGTAACCTGCAGGGGTCGCCGTCCTGCTATCAAAACCAACATTAGAACCCCAAAACTATAAACATCACACTTCTCTGATAGATCCCCACCACCACCATATTCAGGAGCAATGTAGCAAACTGTTCCTCTCATACTAGGCGTACTGCTAAAACCACCACTCTTAGGAATCTCCCCACTGAATGAATCATAACTGTTTCGGCGAGCTCTCCACAATTCACCACTAAGCCCATCCCACAACCAATCCACACTGCCAACACTACCTTTACTCCTACTTCTTTTACTCTTTTTCTTCCTCTCTGTATAAAATTCGTCATCAACTGGCCACCAATTCTCCCCACTACCATTATCATCACTATGGTACATCCCCAACTGTCCCTTCTTCTTCTTCTTCTTCTTTTTGCAAGCTCTTTGCAGTTCTCCTCTTTCCACCAATCCCTCGCAGGCCTCCGCTTCTCCTTCTTTACATTCTTTTCCTTATCATCATCCATTGACACCCACCATTCCAACCTTTTTCTACTCTTCTTCTTCTTCTTCTCCAATTTCGCATTCAGTTCACTACTGGAAGAAGCCACCGAAGCAATCCAATCATTACCAGTTCTCTCCTTAATCTCAGTCCCAATCCATTCCATCACATAGTCCTTCACTTTCCCACTCTTTGCCACCGCCCCGTTATCTTGCTTCCACCACCAATCCCTACCGGAACCACTCCTTATCCCTTTCCCACTCTGCTTCCCACCATTCATCAATTCTTTTCCACTCTCGACACTAGCCCTATCGAAATTCCCCTCCGAAACACTTCCTTTATTCATTATTTCCGGAGACATTGCAACTGGCACCCCTACTGTCTCTGGAGATACTGCAACTGTAACAACCTCCGCACTCTCCGGTGATTCCATAACTGAACCCGGAGGTTGATCAACCACCGAATTGAACTCCTCAATTCCTGTAGCCACACTCTCAGTTTCCGCCACAGATCCACAATCCTCAGCAATTTCCACTTTAATTTCCTCAGATTTCAACCTTGCTAATCCAAAATCCGCAATTTTGGCTGAAAAATACTGATTCAGCAAAATGTTACTAGGCTTAACATCTCCGTGAATTACTGGAGGATCCAATCCGTGGAGATATTCAAGTCCCTTGGCAATATCAACGGCAATCGAAAACCTCTGTTTCCAGTTCATTAATTCGGGGCATTTTCGATGAAGCAACGAGTCTTGTAGATTGCCGTTAGGCATGAGCTCGTAAACCAGAAGCATGCGGCGTCGCTTTCGGTCATAAGAGAAGCCGAGAACTGGGACGACCAGGGAAGAGTCGAGTTTCGACGCGAAGAAGAGCTCGTTTTGGAACTCCCGCTCGCCTTGGAGGGAGCCGGCGTCCATCATCTTGACAGCGACGGTTTGATTGTAATTGTAGCGGTCTTGTTGGTTGTTAGGGATTGTCGCGCGGTAGACGGATCCAAAGCCGCCTTGACCGAGGCGGCAAGAGGCGGAGAACGAGGAAGTGGCACGCCGGAGGATGGAATAGGAGAACCGATGTGGTGGCTTGGAGTCGGCAGGGACTGTACGTTTACGCCGGATTTTGCGAAGGCACAAGGATAGAACTAATAAGATTGAAAAGGCGGCTGCGACGGTTGCGATTGGCGGGAAGATGAGGCGTGTGGGTAAAGGACGCTGGTGGTGAATCAACAGCGGTTGCTGCCGCGGTGGCGGCAGCGGCGGGATCGAGCGTGGCATAGTGTAACCAGTAAACAATTCTCTCCGTTATCTTAGAAAAAAGGGCAGGATATTTAGAGCGTGAAGATGACTTTACGTGCATTGAAGGGAATAGAAGCGGGGATGGAACATGAGTTGGTTTGGGATTTAGCGTTTGTGTTGTTCTGAACTGGTTTTGGAGTGTTTTGTTGCGCTTGTGTTTGTTGTTGAGAATGGCAAGGACTTTTGAAGGCCAGTAATGACTTGTACTTTTCCCGTACCAATTGACGAAGGCGACAGCTCAAAAAGAAACATCAGCTAGGGACGGAAAAGAAAACCATGCTTCTCTCTTCACCCTTATGACTTGCAAAATGCAATCGTTTGTTATTTTCCGCTGCCCACTTTCATCCTCACACATAAATAATGTTTGACGGAGTATATTAAACGGATTGAAGGAAATAAGGTTTAAAAGAAAATATGATTCCCTCCAAATTCATCCAATCCAACTTAAAATTATGAACTTAAATTGAAAGTTAGAACTTTGGAATCCCTTGCTGCTTTTGATTTTCCATTTTGGAAAAGGGATTCAAAGATGAAAAAAATTAATAATTTGGGAGTAAAAAATTAGGCAAAATGACGACCGACCAGTTAGGAGTGACCACAAGAGCAAGTATACCAACCAGGCTTACAAATAAAGTGGGTAGGTATTTAATTTCTTGTTTGTTTCTTGTTCCAGGGTGTGTGCCCCTTACTGAACATTTGGAAATCCATGGGACACCCACTTTTTGTTTCTTTCTACCATTCGATTTGACCTTTTCCTTTTCTTTCTATAATTTCTCATGATTGTTACTGTTACTTTTGATAGGAAAAGATAATATAGATTACTTTGCAAAACAAATACTAACAATACAGCTGGTACATTTTTTTTTTCCTAGTAAAATTAAAACAACTAATAGATTGAGAGATTGTATTTTTTAGCAAGAAGATTAAGAGTAAATCTGCGTATGGGTCGACTGACTTAGATTCCATTAGTTTTGTAAATCTTTTATCTTAGATTCAGTTCAATTAAAATAAATTCAATTATTGTTTAAAAAATATTAAAATATTAAAAATAATTTTATATTAATATTTTATATTTTTTAAAATTTAATTTTAAAAAATAAATCAAATTTGATCAATCTAAACTTTAAAACTCATATCTAAAATTCAAATCGAACCCAATTTTTCGAAAACTTGCCGTTCTTTTTATCATTTTTCTTTTAAGTCCAAAATGGCGTGCTGCTGTCAGATGTTTTTTTTCTCTTTTGGTCATGAATATTCCGATTCTAAACATTTTACTCATACTTCCAGGTCTTTATCAACTTAGTTAACTTATGTATATCTAGTCAATTGAATCCATTCAAAAGAGTTTATAATTATTTTGTATTAAATTAAAGACTCGACAATTTAAAATTTATATTTCAATAAATTATCATGTTCATATACAAGACATGGAAGACTTATCAAATTTCAATTTTTTTGAATAATTTTATTTAATTGATAGGCTAATGTTTTCCTCCTATTTGTAGTTAATTGAGTAGTAAATTAATAAAAGGTCTCTTCATTGTTTATTTTATTAAACATTACACATAGACCAACTTTTTAATATTTGAATTTAAATCAAGTCCAACTTATTCTCGTATTTTCCAAAGCAAGGATTCCCTTTCCACTCTCCATCCTTCCTTCTCTTTTCATTTTTACCCCTCTTTATTCCTTTTCTTTTTTTTTATCAAAGCCTGCAAGTTTAGTCCTGGTTTTAGTTTTCCTTTTACATTTTGATAAGAAAAAGATTGAAAGGATCAAAACACCAACTCATAGTGTTTCTTATAGTTGTCATTCAAATATTTCTTTCTTTTCTGTTTTTTCTTTGGATAAAAGGATAAAAGTAAGTGACAAATGCAAATAATAGTTTTAAAAAAATAATAAAATTTAACTTAATTTATTTATGTTATTACTTTTAAAAAATATATTCAATAATTTTTTTATTTTTTATACTAAAAAATATAATTACTTGGATTTCTCCAAAAAAAAAAAATAGCAATTACTTGGTGTTTAATCTTTTCATTAGAGGTTGGTACTTATGAACAATTATTTAACATAATTTTGCTAGTATGAAGGTTGTTCTGGGGTGAAGATCGGCTACTACGGTCGATAGCTAGGTACTTTGGAAAGGCAACTTGACTAATTACTTTGTCATTTTGCCGGTCGAAGTTCCTTCCATTTTTTTTTTCTTCAAAATTCTGGACCTATGCTACAAGGGAGTTTTTATTCACACCTCATATTTTATATGTCTATATTTTTTAAATTATTTTTAAATAAAATTACTTAATTACTTTTTATTTTTTATTTTTTCTTTTCACGTTCCTTTCACTTTTAAATTTTAAAATTTATAAATCCCAAAGTTTTTAAAAGTTTTTAATAGAAGTTTTTGAATTTGTCTCCAAAAACTTTTATTTTTTTTAGATTTGTATATTTGAAAACTTTTATACTTTTAAAAGTTTTCAGATTTATATATTCGAAAGTTTAAAAATTTTCATCAGATATTGCATTCTCAATTATTTTTTTTTCAAACCTAAATATAATTTTTTTTAATTTATCGAATATGAAAATTTGTTAACTTATATAACTTATAGGAAATACATGCCTGAAAACTTTAAAATTGAGATAAAAAATAATTAAATAATTTTACTCCAAAAATTAAAAAAATATAGGTGTGGAAATAAAAAAAAAAATTGGATGTGTTTAGAACCTCTCGTTCTACAAATAAAAAATTATCAAAAAAAAAAAAAAACCTAGAAAGAAACAATGTGATGCAAATGAAATATTAAGACTTTGGACGTTTAAAAAACATTAGTGAGCAACTCCGCTTTGCATTGGGTGGTATAATCAATTTTATAAATAATCGTGAAATTTTTAATAAAAGTTTATGCATAAAATTTTATTTATATACATTTGAAAAAAAGAAAATTGATCAATTTGTAGTAATGTAAGATTAAAAATTGTATATCTTTTTGCTAACTATTGATTTTAATAGATCTAAATAATAAAATTTAACCATTATTTTTTACTTTTTGATTTCTCTTATATTGAAATCAATACTTAAAAAATTATATAAATTTTTTTTTTAATTTTACATTGATGGATTGATATCTAAGACTTTCTTCAATGATAGAGAAGGATAAACAAAAGGCCTTTCAAAAGCTAAAGGAAAAAAAAATTAGCGCATGAACAAGTAGATGGGAACAACAAACTCTGTCACAAAGGGGAAAAAGGGTTTTCATTAAGTCCATAGTATTCCTTCTTATGCCATGAGTTGTTTGTTATAGCCAAACTCATTATGTGATGAAATTAATAGGCTGATTAACAAATATTAGTGGTAGCACAATAAGGAAAAATAAGGCATCCACTAGCTCAAGAGGAAAAAGATGTGTAAATCCAAGTTTGAAGGAAGAAGGGGCTTTCGAGATATGGGTGATTTTAGCAAAGCCATGTTAGTAGAACAAGGCTGGCAGATAACGACCAACCCAGGAACATTGATCCACCATGTCTTAAAGGAAAGATATTTTACAAATGTGTCCTTCATAGATTCTGAGTTGAGGTATCAACCTTTTATGACTTGGAGAAGCATTTAGGCAACAAAAGCTTTGCTCAAACAAAGAACGAGGTGGAGAGTTGGTGACAGAAAAATGGTAAAGATTTGGACAGACAAGTGACTGTCATCTAATGAAAGGTTTATGATATCTAATGAAGGGTTTATGATCAAATCACTAAAAGGATTATGCAAAAAGAATAGATGAGGTTTCTTGAAATCTAGTTTAGTGAAGGTGGCAAAAGAGTAACTAATATCTAGGTATTTGGTGGTTTCTAGGTTAGGTTATTGATATTCTTATTTAGGTTTTTTTAGAAGAGATGTGGTAAAGAGAGGAAAAAGGCATTGTTGGTATAAGGAGAAATAAAAGAGAAAACAGCTTTGCAGACTAGGGATAGTCTCCAATGGATGGTGGCAAATTAGAAGGTTGAAAAACTGAGTGGTTGATCTAGAAAGGATTCTGTAGAAGACGAATAAGTAGGGCCTATTAGAGGAAGGAAATAAAGGAAAAAAAAGGACAGGTCGACCCGTTCACTAGCCCACGACCCATTCCAAGCAACCCAGCTACAACTTATTCCAAATAGTTGGGGTTAAGCCCTTACAAAAAGCAATCATAGGCCTAGTTTCGCTTGTGATCAAATTGGGCCAAAAATCAACCTAAATTCTGATATTATTTTTTACTTTAGCCTTTGTTTACTTATCCATTTTTACTTGTTTCATTTATATTTATATTGTTAGGATTATATCTATATTATCATATTAAAGATATGTTTTCATGATTAAAAAAATTTTAAAAATATAATTTCAATTATACAATTATTTCAATGATAAAACTTTAAGAAGTCAATAATGGTTGATTTCTTGAAAATTTTGTAGTGTTAAAATTTTTTAAACTCTCCAGAATTATGGAAAGTTAAGACAAAAATTTTAATCTATAAAAATTAAGAATAAAAATAACTAGAATGTAATACCTAAAAAATGAAAATTTAGCAAAATGGTGAAATTCTAGAAATTAAGAACAGCTGAATTTCTAGAAATTTTTTATAAGAACTTTCTATTTAATATCTCTAGAACGGTGTAGATTTAGATAAAATTTTCAACAACAATATTGATATATGTTTTCAAACAATGATAAAGTTAAAAGAATAAAAATCTAGAAAATTTTAGAAATAATAAAGATAAATCTAAAAAATAAATAGTAATAAAATAAATTTGATTATGGGATTTTCAAAGATCAAGAATGGTTGATCCTCTAAAAAATTCTAGATGAAAAACTCTAGATGATAAATTTATTTTGTAAATTTTTACTAGAATAGTGATAAAATTAGATAAAATTTTAATAATTATATTTTTAAACATAATAGATAAAAACGATAGAAATGAGAAGTTTTAGAAATAATATAAAATTTTGAAATAAGACTAAAGTAAATTCGATGATTAAATTCTAAGAGATCAAGAATTGTTTATTTTTTTAAAAGTCTTTAAATGGTAAAATATTTCTAAATATTTTCAAAATGGTAAAAATTTTAGATATATCTCAATACAATGATAATTTAGATTTAGAAATGAAATTTAAAATAAAGTAAATTCGATGATAAAATTTTTAGTAATCGTAAATGGATGATTATCTAAGACATTTCTAAGTGAGAAAATATTTTTAATTTTGACCCAAATGATGGAAGAATTAGATATATTTTCGATAAAAGAGTGATTAAATCTTTTTTCAATGACAAAGCATCTTCAAAAAATAAATGGGATTTTTA